CAGGTGGTTCTATAACGAATTGTTTTATTCACTGTTAGAATCGATCAAACTAACGAACAAGAAATTGCGCCCATGCAGGTCATACTGTAATCAAATGTCTGTGTAAGTTATAGTGGAAACTTTATTAGAGATCAAGTGTCAGGTAGCAGGTGGTGTGGAATACTTATGTCAGATTTGCAGGTTCACTTTATCAATCAATCGTAGAGTTAGGCTTGTACTGTCTTGAAAACTTCGAGAAGATATGTTATCTTCTGATTAATTTTTTTTAATTTTTTTTTTTATTCGGTCAAAATTTCTCAAACATAATCCAAATTAAAATGAAACACATGTATTTCAAATATATGATTATCATAATACAAAATGATGGCAAATATAGTATGAATAAAAACCGAAAATTATGGATAAAAAACAAAACAAAGACAAGGTATGTTTGGTTTAATTTAATAAGAAAAAGGGGAAAAGAAAGGAGTATCTCAAGAGAACCACATAAATATAATGTTTTCTTTGCAATGATAATACAATGATTCAATAGAGCATGCTGTTTGTCTTGTATTCCAAACAAGATTTCCTCGTCTGACAATTGTAACCTTTCTTTATTGAATCTAATATGCCACCATCTCAAAAATTCGTTCAAGTAATCTCGTGTATATAAACATTCTACAAACAGATGCTCAATCGTTTCTGGCTCTTGTTTACAAAAAGAACGCATTTCATTGTCGATCACTTTCATTTTTTCAGCTTTGCATTTACCAGTAACCATCATGTGTTTATTTTATATCGGAATAATCTAGTTCTTGTATCAGGAATAATTCTACAATGTAATTCATATATAAAAATCAAAATGTTCTTCATTTATTTTATATTTTGATCTCCAGTAGGTTTCTGAAGTAGCCTTTTGATATTTGTTTTCTTTTAGTACCATATTGATCATCTTTGTTGTCAATTTTGATATATAAATTTGTCTATTACGAAATTTATTACAAGTATCCAGCTGTTTTGATAAATGCCTACTTTCAATACACTGACCTTTTTTACCTCTGTGGAATGGCAGAAACGACTGAGCGCCAAAAAAGATAATTCTTAAAACCAATCTGTTGCCACATGGCAAAAACAATTAATTCTCCATTTTCATCAAACAATCTTCTATATACCATATACTAATATCAAATAATTCTTTTACAAAGCAACTGTTACCAGCTATTCTTATTTGTCTATTGTTCCATATAATACTTTCTTGGGAAAGTCGATTATTGTTACAAAGTTCTCTAAAGTCAAAATATGCATATAAAACCTCTTTATAAAATGTAGGTAGATGTTTTAAATTTGAACAATCTTCTTTGTCAAAGTTGCAATAAAGTAAAAATTGTCCAACCATATTTTCTCGTAAAGTGATCAAAGAATATTTTTCATGAAGAATACTCTTCTTCAAAAAGTCTTACTATGCATTTTATTCTTAGCACCTAAAACATTGAATGAATGTCTATCATATTCAGACCCCCTTTAGAATACGGAGCAATCAATGACGACTTTTTAATATAATTCCTTTTTCCGTTCCATAAAAATACATGTATAGTTTTTTCCAGTTCTTCCATCACATATTCAGGGACAGGTAAAACTGATGCACAAAAAATTAATTTTGACAATGCAAAAGTTTTTAAGATTTGTATTTTTCCTATTAAGGTAAGATTTCTTTTTTTCCATACATTTAACAATATCATTTATCTAAATTAAGTTTTAAAGCTGCATCGGTGTCATAAGAGAAACAAATTCCAAGACCCTTAATAGGTTTTTTCGGCCATTCAAACTCAAAGTATTCATCCTGTGAATCTCTATATTAGCCCAACCACATAGCTTTACTCTTATCTTTGCTGATTTTTAAGCCAGAAAATGAAGAAAATTTACATAAACGGGTAGCAAAAACTTTCGATACAATTTTAATATCAGCATTGAGTAGTGATATTGGTCTCCAATTTTCCAGGTATTGTTCATCTTTTCCTTCTTTACTAATCAGAGTGATAATTGCTTGTTTTTGCGAAGTTGTAAATTCTCCTCTTTCCAAACTTATACTCACTGATTCTAAATAGATATCTTCTAACATGTTCCAAAATTTTCTGTAAAATTCTACAGGAAGGCCATCATCCAGGGCTTTTATTTGCAGTCATACTATACATTCCTTCCTTAATTTCTTTCTTATTTAATGGTTTATCAAGAATAATTCTCTCTAACTCATTTAGAGAAGGTGTACATAGATTTTGCAAGAATTTCTTGGCCTCATAATTTGCACCATCATTCAACCTTGACTTATACAATTTCAGTTAAAACTGTAATCTGTGTTTTCAAAATATCTTGCTGATTTGTAATCAACTTATTTGTATCTTTTTTTCATAATAGAATGACATTAATTATTCACTTGGTTTCTTCTTTCCAAACCCAAAAGATATTCGTTACTCTTTTCTCCCTTTTCATACCACCTACACCTTGCTCTTACCATAACACGTTTTAATTTTTAATTTTCAATTCTAATAATTTCTTATTTTATGTTTTCTACTTCTTGAACTTTATATGTACTGTTCAAAACCGTTAATTCCTTCCGTTAACTTCAAGTCGTTCCCGCAGATCAATTTCGATTTTACAAGTTTCTTTATTTTTTTCCTTTGAATATTTTGTTGTAAATAACTTGACTTGATATTTCATCCAATCCCATTTTATTTTAGGATCCATATTAAGTACTCTATTTTCCATCTTTGGATATTTTCTGTCAATGTCTTAACATGAAGGTCAGGGAAGTGTTTAACTTCCAGTATTCTTTTCCTCTGGATATTTCACTCAACTTAATTGTCATATGTATAGTAGAATGATCTGTTCGTAGAGCAGAAGTTATCCCTGTTTTTTTAAAACTTTTAGTTTAAGATCATTATGTATTGAGAAATAATCAAGCCTACTCTGTACAAAAGGCTGTTTTTGCCTCCAAGTGTAACGGGATTCATTTATATTCATATTGCGCCAAATATCAATCAAATCAAAATTTAACATAATATCTTCAATCTTTCCACAACATTTTTTTGATTAATTTTTTCCCTCCCATTTTATCTACTTTAGGGTCTAGGACGCAATTATAATCACCTCCAATTACTATACGTTCTTCACCATTCCATTCCTTTTGCACAACATTCAATTAATCTTTGTATTTGCAAATTTTCTATATTAGGCTCCAACTCAGCTATATAGGAGCCCTGCTTTACGGAACTGCTGCTGACAAGTGGTCAAGAAGCAGGTGACAGGTGGTTCTATAACGAATTGCTTTATTCAATGTTAAAATTGATCAAACTAACGAGAACGAAATTACGCCCATGCAGGACATGCTGTAAACAAATGTCTATGTAAGTCCGTGGAAACTTTTTATTAGAGATCTAGGATCAAGTACCAGGTGGTGTGGAATACTTATGTCAGACTTGCAGGTACACTTTATCAATTAATCGTAGAGCTAGGCTTGTACTGTCTTGAAAACTTCGAGAAGATATTTTATCTTCTGCTTAAATATTGCAGGATGTTGAATAGTTGGTAATTTTGAAATTCTTTGAAAATCTTTTTTTTATAAAGATGAACTCCAACGCTTTCATACACATTATGTTTTGTTGGAAGCTCGTACTATCTTTGAATGCCTTTTCATCACTTTATATTACGAAAAAATTGTTTTGTTCGCTAATGTATTGCTTGCTTATCTAAATAAAAAAAAGTTTTTTTACGACTTGTTAACTGCCCAGAATACATATGTCTTCCTGTACTATCTATTCACTTTTGCAGAAAATTTGTTAAACATAGCATTAGTACTTTTTGTTTCATTAACACGTCTTTAGGGATGACCACTTTAAAAGCCCACTGATTTTCAAAGAGACTGTACCTTAAATTCAAGGACCGAAAATAAAACAATCCTTCTTGATCATTGGAGGGGGGGGGGTGGTAAAAAGGGGACCTAAAATGTTGACTAAGAAAATTCCATTGTGACTTCACTACGTAAAAGATCGTAGACGAAATATAAAAGTAAAGTAGATCTCTTGTGACGAGATAAGGAGAGAACCATGGGCTAATTCCAGTCAACTACCCCCTAGGACAGGCCTTCTCAACTGGCGGCGCGCGACTGTTGCAACAACAAAACAAAAAACAGAAAGAAAGAAAGAAAATATATATTTAAGAATTAATTACTCAGCTAAATCAAGAAGTTGCAGTCTAAATTGAGCCCAAAACGCCTGCTTAACAAACAAAAAGAAAGGGGAATTTATCGTGTTTTTTTTTACCATTTTATACGAATCTAAACCTAAGGACTAAACAACAATTAGCTTACGATGGGATACCAATTTTAACATTGCCAATCTCTGGAAACATCTTGTTTTTGTTTGTTTGATTTTCCCTTTTTCTGACATTTCCCGTGTTTATTGCACACACAAAACTATATATAAATATACCTCCAGTGTAATTGTCCCCAGGAATTGTACCATTTTTTCCACATTAATATGAAATTATGATTGATTATATTGTAGAATGAAATGGTGTTAAAAATGCACAATTTGGGCCTTTAGAAAGTCCTAAATTGGACAGTCTGCAGAAATTGTTGGAAGAGAGAAGAGTGAAAGAACAGGAAGTGGTACTAAAACAGAAGGCTAGGAGCCGAGGGTTGTGGAACGGCATGATCGCCAAAGTCAAACGATATGGCACTTAGAAAGAGAGAGAAATCCACCAGCTTCAGGGAGCCACGCCCCCTGCTACCCCCCGTTAGGGCTTCGCCCCAGGACCCCACCTATTTTCGGCTCGGTCGCTACGCTCCCTCGCAGCACAGTCAACCATACAGGGTGGCACTTCAACTACAAATTCTTTTTGTTTTGGCACTTCTAATAAACTAGATAAAAGGCCAGCAGCTAGGACACATATCCTAGATAGAGAGAGAGAGAGAGAGAGAGAGTCATATACGCATGCGTGCTTACGGACGAGTGTGATTGGCAGTGAACAATTCTTAATCGTGCAGCTTACCAGTATATAAATGGTGTAGAATTGGAGGAATACTCTCCTTGGTGGTTGTTCAGTTAAGACATAACATCGCTAACAAACAGAGAGGCTTGAAGGACAAAAGATTTTGCTTGACAATCAAAATTGAATTTTGAAAGTGCAGCCATGGACTCGAAAGTTGATGTAGGAAATGCGGGACGAGAAGCAGGATTGAGTGACACTCCAATTGGAGAGGAACTTTATCAGGTGAGGTGACATTTTAAGAATATGAGAAGTTATTTAGTTGTTTTTTCAATTTCATTTCATTTACTTTTTATTTCATATCTTTTTAAAACTTTTATTTACAATATACATGTCATTGAATTAAATATCGACTATTTTCAAAATTCCGATTGAAAACATAAATTTAAATGTTTTATTCTATATGGTACATTAAGTCAAATAATCAGATAGTATTCCAGCCAAACATAAGAAAGGGCTCTAGAAAAGGCATGTGTGTATGTGTGTGTGTGTTTGTGTGTGTGTGCGTGGCTTTAATACAACTTTTTGAGTTAGATGAAATTAAAGATTTAGAATGGTGAGATATATTTGTTGGGTTGGTAGGAAGTTCATATAGAATAAAAATGTGTAATACTATCATTTTCATGGTGAAGTATGTTACATTTATGTCAAGATCGGGGGGGGGGGGGCGAGTACCAACTTTAGAAAAGATGAACAAAAAATAATTTAAGTATAGGGACGAGGAAAAGAAAATAGCAATTAAAATGGGAAAGCTGGGATCACATTTCTTAAAGTGGGAGCAGCTTAAGATTGATTAAGATTGTTTTCTTCTTCTCCACCGTGAGCCTGTTAAAAGGGTTTATACTTTATTTTGCGGCCTGGATAACTTATTTAGTATATTTTTCTTGAGTTGAGAATGTTAGCACACATCCCCTGAATGAGTAGTGTGTGTGTGTGTGGGGGGGGGTGGGTGGGTGAGTATGTTTGTGTGATGGAGGGGGCAGGGAGGGGGCAGGATTGTTCCAGTAAAATTACCTCCAGATTTGTTTAAGTTTTTTTTGTTGTTGTATATAAGTGAATAACATTTACAATTGACATATTATGTTTAGGTACTTATACGTTTACTTTGTTGCTAAGTTATATATACTGCAAATAAGTTTGTGTTCAATTATGTTTATGTAAAAGCATCAATATTGAAAACGTTTATTTTATTCAATTGTATGTTATAGTTTGTATTGCACATTTGGAGAAATAAAACAAAATTGTTTAAATAAAAAAAAAAGTGTGTGTGTGTGGGGGGGGGGGGGGGAGTAATGAATGGCATCCATGCTATCCATCACTTTATTGGAAATCATACTAAATAATAACATAGGGGTAGATGCCACGCGAATTTTGATTAATTAAAACAGTCATTTTTGGCTCAAAATTTGAAAGAATGTCTAAAATCATGATTTTTTATTGTGGACCAAGTATGTATGCTCTGATGAATACCTTTCAATTGATATAATCTTCATTAGGACTTTGAATTAATAAACCTGTTTGATATTTGAAAGTTGGATATTAAACACATACGTATAGTACAATAAAACATAAAACTGTGACTTACTCAAAATATCGGGTTATTAAAACTAGTCATATTTGACAGTTTTAAAACACAATAAAGCTGTACATTTAAATATTTTGTATTTGATTGAAACTATAATATATGTTGTCAAGCCACGCAGAAAAGTAATTTAATGCTTTTCGAAATGAGTCGATGTCTTTTACAAGATGCGCATTTTGAGTGGAAAACACTGTTCATGTTCATTTACGGTGTACATGTACCGTTTATCGCAATTCTTATAGGTATTAGCAATATTAGTTCATGGGCCAATAATTGAAAAGGCCCCATCCCCTTAGACACAATCTTAAATTAGAAATGCAATAGTATCAGTATAATATGCTTGCATTGACGCCTGTGTTTCTACGTGTCAAACGAAAACGCCTCATTCGGACTATCCAGAGCAGTGGAGATAACTAGTCGGCCGAAAGAGAGGCCTAAAAAACAACCTGGAACGAACCCCCAAAATACGTTAATTTTACCTTTTTTGGAGATGGGCCTCCTCCCCTGGCGATGCGGTTTTCAATTTTTCGAGGGCCAAACGAAAATTAGTGCTCACCCCCCCCCCGCCTCCCCCCCCCCCCCCCCCCCCGAGCGAATAATCGGCCGGCTGTTTCACCGCTTAATATTTTCTCACGAATTGGGCCCCCTCACCTGCCGCCGGTTGGATTCGCCCCTGGGTCTAACAGTATGAAATGAAAATTTTCTCCAAGGAATATCACAGAGACAGTAAATGCATTGCAAACTGGCAACATGGGTTCTTGCATTAGTTGAATTCTCGCGATACATTGACTTTCGACACCACACAGCTCAGGCAGGATGAAATCCTGCACAACTCTTGCGTTCGAAATCAAAATAGGAATAAAAACGGCGCGCTCAGGATGAATTTCTGCGCAACTTTTGTTTTCGAAATCAGAATATGAATAAATGTTAAAACAGTGCACTCAGTTTTTGCACAACTCTTGCGTTGAAAAATCAGAATAGGAATAAATCATAAAACGGTGCGCTCAGGATAAATTATTGCAGTACTTTCGAGCTCGAAATTAATCACTATAACAATTTTTTTTTTTTTTTTTTTTTTTTTTATTATTAAAAAAAAAACCGTTTTAGCCCTCCATAGGCTCAGGGTCACCCTGGGACGTATCCCTATCTTTTGAGGCTGTACGGGTCGGCTTGGGATTATAACACGGAGTTATAACTGTTTGCATTTTAAGGTTCGCTGTAGCGATTAGACATGCAGTAGAGCGGTTCCACGGTGACCGTACGTTGGGCGTACGGTAGCCTTGTGTTTCAAATACTCCAGCGGGTGAAGCAGTAGCACCAGTCTGGCCGCACGGTCGCCTTTCGGGCACCTTCCGACTACCTTGCGTATGCCTTAGTATTTGTTAAAAAGCTACGGCCGCTGCAGGGACGCCCTAATGCGACTGTGCGTCATCACTCCAAAGGCCGTAAGGCAGTCGCAGATTTTCTGTCTCCATAAATTAAAAATACGGCTACCCTAACATATGTGACCGCTACCCTATGTGGCCGTGGGAATGCTGCGGCGGTCCTATAATTGCTATTGGCAGTAGATATTTAAGACCGCACGGCCGCCTCGGCAAACTTCACCTAGGCATTAACATGAGTTAGTCTAATGCAAATAGGGCCTATAATACGGCCTTCGGTTTCTCAATGGGAGACGGACACGCCTCTATAGAAATAGAGAAAAGGTTGTCCCCCTTTATTTATAAACTGGTCAAGAAAATTGTCTAAATTCTGATTAAATTCTATTTTAAACAGGAAGAATGTGGGTAGTAAGATCAAACTTGGATTTGCATGTGTGACAAAGAGTGCTCTAACATGCGAAGTTCTAACCTTTGCAGCTCTGAACCTTTGAAACAATTAAACTTGTTATGAACCTTCGGAAAAACTACATGTTACCCTTAAATCTAGACTAAATTTACGTTTCGATGTTAATGTGCATGGGCAATAATGAAGATGACTGTTTTGTTCATCATAATGGGGTACCGTCGTTAATCTTTCTTATCAGTGCATAATAAATTCTCCTTCTCGTTGTATTCTTGCAGCTATTTCTGAAGAAGCATCAAGAGCTAGCTAACGACAGGCAGGAGAATCGTCCAGATTTAGATGAACTCAGAAAATTCCTTATATCAGATTACAGAATCTGCTTAGAAAGGCTTGGAATTACGGTAAACTTACACATTGTCGGAATAAAGTATAATTACAATAATAAAGATTATAATCGAAAATTGGTTTCTGTTATTCAGGATGGATCCTAAGATACCTATCGTGACGCATAAATGTAATTTTCTAATTGAATGAAAAAAAGTTCTATAAAAATATAACACAATCGCAAATATTTTCGAAAAATCAAATCAAGGGCAGTTTTAATCTACTCATGTAGGTCCCATGGACATCAAGTTCGGATTACGTCATACGTCATAAACAAATTCGAACGTTTCAATAGGAGACGCAAAAGGCCATTGGAATTACCGTAGGTTGATTTTTCAAAAGCCGTTGCGGCAATCTTGTTAGGCTGTTTCAAAGAAACGATTGTGTGTTTTCCAAAGTTTTATGATACAAAATTAGCCTTTTGTCAAAGAGTGAATAAATTACACATTAAGATCAGTATTATGAAAAGAACATTAGGAAAACCATTAAGAAACTTACTCCAAATACATATATCATTCAAATTTGCAGAACTTTCCCAAATTTTGGTCTGATATGAGACTTTCATATTATCAAAAGAAAATGTAAAAATGCTCCTTTTAATACACCTCATCATATAGAAACAACGTGAGATAAATAGTATATTCCCTTATCTATGTATTATTTAGAGAAAAGATTTAGACGCGTTATCGTGCATCCATGTGGCGGGTACTAAGGGAAAGGGATCGACATGTGCTATGACAGAAAGGATATTAAGGACATACGGCTACAAGACAGGCATCATAAGGTATAAATAAGCATTTATTTCATAATCAAAATAGACAGTGGTACAAATAAATCACTACTGTACAGAAATTTATATCACAATAAAGCAAACATAGCCCAGGACAATGGACATATAAACATAAAACACACAGGTTTTTTTCTACAGATATGATACATAGTTCAATGAGATAATATATATGAGCTAATCAACATTTCAGAAATATTAATTAACAAGAAATAAATAAGATATAGTTGGTGTTTTTTAGTTAGTATTTGAGATGTAGTTAATAGCGTTGAGAATAATTGATATCAATTGCTATAAACAAAAATTCACTTATACAATTATACCGTTCAGTCGTTCCGCTCCCTCATATACTCAGTCAGAATTAATGGGAAATATTTATATTTGCTAGGTGTTATGACGGTGATTCGACATTTACCCTGAGCTCAATACTTTAACTTTTGGTCCAGGGCAGGAGTGATTCTAGAAAGAAAGCAAGCAAATAAGAGATTGTGGGAGACTTGGGCTTTCTGTTGCGAGGGAGTGGAGCGACTGAAGTGCATAATTGTATTTGTGAATTTGTTTCATAGCAATGTTTATTGATTTGTTAAACAAAGTCACTTGTATTTTGTAAACGAAAGGCGAACTAGTATCAAGTACTATATGTGTTTAATCAACAAGTACCATTTCAGGCAAGATTCCTTTTGTTTCCACTTCTTATTTCGTATTTATACCCTCTCAAAATGAACCAATATCATAAAAGCAGATTGTATGTTCAGTCCTTCTATAGTTCTCCCCCTCTATTAGATATTCGTGAGCGAGTCCGTATCAATGGGGCGCCAGTTTCCCGAGCAATGTATGGAAGATATGGAGTAGAATGTCTTGAACTGCTAGAGAAGAACAAAACGAAATTTGGTCAAACAATCTCGAGTGGTATAGGTCCATATTCGCTGTTCACATTCATTGCATACTACATTCTTGTCAAAGAAAAGGTAAGACCGCGGTCAAATTTTTTTCCACATACTTCACTCGTATTGTTTTATTGGATTAATGTTAATACTAATATAATATTGAATATGGAATGCATCGTTGCTCTAGAGAATTTTGTATTACAAAACAACATCGGGGTCTTAAACGCTCGAAAATGAAGTGGAACATGAACATTGTTTGCAAAAGTGAACAATTTGACTTTGTTATTCCCGGCTCATTTATCCTGATTGAGGTGTCATATGAAAGGGCAGAAATTGAACTTTCTAGAAATATGATTTTCTCCCTGTAATTCAGATACCGCCCGCCAAATGACTTTTTGGTTTCCTCTCTTCAAATTGCTTTTAATCACTCATGCCTGAAATATGCATGATATAAGTTGCATCAAATGAAATAATTGTGATTAAGTTATGATAAAACATCGATAGTTCTCGGTTTCATTTTTTCTGGGACGCACTGTATACAGGATATGGCAGTATTATACTACTAACTTGTCGTTCATAGGTAGATGTCGCTGTTGTGGAAGTAGGACTGGGAGGCGAATATGATTCAACCAACGTTCTTTGGTATGTACAAATACTAACAATATCGCAAAAACTTTAGAGAAATCAACTCCTGTGGGCAATTGTAATACCTTTTGTGTATTCCACAGAAATCATGTTCAGATTGTGTACGTTTTAACTATTGGAAATAAAACATTGATACAATTATTACAGGAACTTAATACATGTAGTAAGCAAATATAAACCGACTACGAGGGTAATGGTACAAATAATCATTGCCGAGCCGAGGTGATCTCAGTTCAGTACACCGGTGTTAACAGTAATTATTGTTATTTATGAGGTTTAGTGGCAGGGGGCCTACAGTGAAAGCCGGCAGTAAGGAAAGGAGAAATGTTTTATGAGAACAACAAAATGTCTATTTATAACCGTTGTAAAATAGGAAGTTCATAACGGTAATTTAGAAGTCGCACTAACAAAATGATTTTTTTTCACATTTTCGATCGCAAACGGGGAAGAAAAATCAAATTTCGGCGGGCGAAGGGAGACTCAACGTTGAGTTATAAGGGCCTCATCTTGCAGCGGTAATCCCTCATTTGTCAAAATCATACGTCTATCCGATGGCTGGATAGATATACAGTCGTATATATGCGTATAGTTGTATAGTTGTACGGAAAGTGGCCTGCTTGCCCCGCCATATACCTCGCCATATTGACCCCCAACTAGCTCTTAACACGACCTTTACCCTAGGGTAACTTGCCTCCGTCTGAACAAGACTATTGACGTTTCTCTCTCTTTCTCTCTCTCTCCTCTCTCATTTTACCAACTCCATTCCAAAGGTCTCCAACTGTGACTGGTGTTTCGTCTCTTGCCGTGGAACATGTCTCACAACTCGGCGACACCCTGGCTAAAATCTCCTGGCATAAATCAGGCATATTCAAGGTAAATCTATGAATCTAAAAATGAAACTTCTGCCTTAATTTGCACTTCACTTTTCGAAAGTAATAGTCCGTGATATTTCCTATAAAGCTATGTTGCAATACGCCATAGCCTTAATATTTAAAAAAAAAAGGAAACAATGGGCCCACAAACACTGTGGTTGCCATAGATATAATATAAGAAACTGTGAGTCAAGGAGAGATAGGGTTTAATTCATGAATTGGAATGAAGAGGAAGCAGCAAGATAAAGATGAATACACATTAATAAAGAGGGACATTGCGTGATGCGTGATCCGAAAAAAATGGAGAGAAACGTAAGAAGTGAACATTTGAGAGAGAGATGGCTTTAAACTTCATCTTCGTTCAAAAAAACATATTTTTCAGGATGGTCGACCTGCTTTGACAGCGCCACAGCGAGAGGAAGCGATGACTGTGCTTGTACAACGGGCAAAGGAACGAAACGTAAGTCACAAGAGTTTAATGGTAATCAAAATAAACATGAGCGCCTCATTTTTTATTTTAGTTACCGTATGTCCAGTCATGTCCAAACATATTAACCATATGTCCAAATATTTTAACCACATGTCCGGTAATGTAATGGGTATTACTAGCCAATTATACAATACTATGACATTTTTACCCCAGTTTCTTTAAGTTTTAAACACTGTCAAAAGTTCTCCGTTGCCATATAGTAAGTCCAAAAGTTGAAGTATATTGTACAAGGGCCATCAAGACCCAAGGCTTTATGGTTCTTAAAGGTACTGAAAGACTTTCAGAACAGCAAGTAGTCAGTTAATAACGCACAATGGATATGTTTTCGTTTAATAAGTGACCGTTGTCAGTGTCGTCAGTGACTTTAATCACTTCTAAGCTTATATCCATTACGAAATAAATTTGTTCATAAGGATATTTCTCTTGAACCTTCCATATTTTGAATTCTTTAATTGTATTTCGTCATTATTCAAATATTGCTGTGGAGCGCTCAGTCTTAAACAATATGAAATTTTTGGCAATCATTTTGCATATGCTCAACCATATAGTTCAATGAAAATTTCTTCCTTCTATTTAGGCACCTTTGCGAGTTTGTCCTCCTTTAGGCGACTACGAATGCAATGGCGTCAGTGTCAAGTTAGGTCTTGCTGGAAAACATCAACGCATTAACGCAGCTTTGGCCGTTCAACTCACTAAAACGTGGCTCGATGAGAAAGCACCAGGGAGAGTACAATTCCAAGGTAATATTCAGGAGAGATACTCGTTATTAACCTTTTTTCTTCAGAGACGACATGGCAATATTTCAAAGCGAATAAATGTAGTCTATACGAGTCTCGTACTATGCATATTAAAGAAAAGAAGCGAAACACGTAACACATTTTATATCAATACTTGTAAACGTATGTAGGCACCCCCCCAGACATAACAATAAATTTAAAGGAATAGACATACTTGTATATTCAAATATATATATACTAGGGTTAGGAAAAATATTATGTTATTTTTCATATATTTCTATAGAATTTGTTTTAGTTTTATATTTGACACATATACATCCTTTTGAATACTAGGTATTGTGTTATTGGAGAGGTACTGTGGCCACATTTGTATGGAAACATAAAAAAACATTGTACGTATTCTTTTCATATAGGACCACAAGATGTAGATATCAGCGGCAACTCGACAATTGGTGATAAACTTGACGATGGGAAAGTTCAGAGAGCGACGCCATTCGTTCTGCCAGACGAATTCTTACAAGGTAATTTTCGCTTAATGCCTCTGGCTAACGAGGCCACCTTGCAAATAGCGAATAGCCAAAAATAAGTAGGATAATAAAATTCATGAGAAGTTAATCATAGTACATGCAGAGCAATGACATTGATTTTAATTGCACGGTAAAGTTACACACAGAAAGAATAGAATTACAACAGAAGCAAACAAATAATACCCAACACACACACACACACACACGCATTGTATGGGTTGAATACAACAAGCAATGATTAGAGTATGACTACGATGTGCGGATGAGCGGATAAGAGATTTACCTAATTTTGGTGATTTTGAAGAACCTTTGGAAACATTCGAATGCGATGATATTCTGGTATTGTTGATACGAAGTACAGGAAGGAACATATATATATCCAGAAGTAAATTTGAGAGACTTTCGTGCCAAATACAGTGTTCTTATGAGTGTGTGATCTTACTTCATTGAAAGCTATAGTCCCACATACGCATGGACTATATCGAGATATCGTCACATTGAAACGGTGAGATAACTATAATAATCATCATTATTACTGAATATAACATCATTTTGAGCATAAAGTGACGAAATTTACGAATGGATCAGAATGTCTCCCACTGTCGCAACGAACAAATGTAAAGGAAATCCAGGAACTGACAATTTTATTTTCAAACTGCCAAAAGGAATTACAACACCCAGCATTCGTTTAGCCATCAATTTGATTTACCGCTCGGGATTGCCTGGCAGTGACAGTGATATTGATAACGAAATTGTGGAAAACAATCTTGTAAGAATATACCCCCACTTGAACCGATCAATTTGTCACCATTTCATTTTGATACAAAATAACAGTGTACATGATATCAGCGGTGTTACTAACGATAATGCTGACAATTGCCGCCATTACATATCAGAAAGCGGAGAAGGCGACCATCCTGATCCCAATGAGGGTACGCCAACGGATCATGACCCTATCTTAACAATACCCGAAAGGGAGGTGAACAAGACTTGTATATGTAACAAAATGGATCCTGAGCTTATGCTATTAAAGGAACAAATACAAACAATGTCAAAGACCATTGATGCACTGATTGAAAAGACGGCTTATAAGACTCCGGACAGTGACCCAATTCAAACGGAGAGTGGCCGCAGCCAGGTCGCTGACGAAATGCCCTTTGAACGCCAGGTCGCTGACGAAATGCCCTTTGAACGCCAGTTGGCTGAATATCGTGATAAGCAAAAGCAATCGTTTAGGTCAATACCTAACAATTCTAATCCTGATGATAGTCCAAAAGAGAATAAAGCTCAAATTCTACTTGTCGGAGACTCGATGATTAGACGTATTAGACCCTCTAAACTTTCAAAGCGAACAACAGTGAAATGTAAAACACTTCCTGGTGCCAAAATAGAGGACGCGTATGAAGTTATTGATGGTCTGGCAAGGCAATTTAAGCCCGAGGAAGTTATTGTTCATCTCGGCTCTAATAACCTAAACAATGATGATGAAGACGAAATTGTTGCGAAGCTGTCGTCGCTATGTCACGAAATCGTGACACAGACTGATGTCAAATCGATGACAATATCAACCATAATCCACCGCCGAGATGAATCCCCACTAGATGGCGCCTTTGTGGACAGAGTGAACGCCCACATAAAACTTCTGGCCAATGAGCGTGGATGGGCGATTATTGACAACGATGAGATCCGCCCCAATGTTCATCTCTCTATAGATGGCGTTCATTTGAATAGAAACGGGGTCACTATGTTTGCGCAGAATATAATACGACATCTTCGGCCAGATACTTATCGCAGTCCACAGCATTCTTTTCAGAATCGTCAAACAACCAATCACAGGTGGAAACCGAGAGGAGCAATGTTTCCCCGCGACTGGATGGACGACTTGGAGACTCGGAGAGGATACCCCTACACGGATCAATACTATTAACTACGAATACTGCAGATGAAAATGATGCATACTATAGTCTGGAAAACGGATATATCAAGCCTTTTAGTGGAAATGGTCTAAAAATTTGCCATGTAAATATCAATTCGTTACCAGCCAAGATAGATGATCTAAAATATACTCTAAAATATAATCCATTCAATATTATAGCTATAACAGAAACTCACTGTGATGAGACCATACCAGACTCCGAACTATTAATAGAGGACTACAACATTATTCGTAAAGACAGAACGAGACACGGTGGAGGTGTAGCTCTTTATATACGAAGAGACATTAACTATACACGGCTGGACTATGTAAATGAACTGGAAGCCATATGTGTAAAGGTCAAAGTATCTCGTAACGAAACTCTTCTAATTTGTGTATTATATAGACCACCAAATGTTCCAGTAGAGTATTTCGACCAAATCTCGTGTATGATGGAAAGGGCGATTAGCGACGATGTAGAAATGATTTTACTGGGAGACTTTAATTGTGATTTATGTCAGGATAGGTTAAATTCAGATACAAAACATTTGTCATCTTTGATGACTGGTTTCTTATGCACACAATTAGTTAATGTTCCTACCCGAGTCACTATGTCATCAAAATCGATAATCGATCATATTTATTCTACCAACCCAGACAAACATATTGTCACTGGTGTATATAAAACCTTCTTTAGCGATCATTTCTTAACTTTTACAATTTATGGTGAGAGTTGCCACAAACCCTTGGAAAACTTAATAAGCTGGCGGGATTTCTCCAAATTTGATTATGAAGGATTTGTAGTTTCAATGACACAAAAGCCTTTCAACGACATATTTCAAATTACAGATGTCAATGAAGCGTGGGAGAAATGGTATAACCTAACAATGGAAGTTGTGAACAAATTTGCACCACTTAAAAGTAAACGTATGCGTAGGAATCCTTGTCCATGGGTTTCTGGTGACACCATTCAATTGATGAATACTCGTGATCACTTTCATAAGAAAGCTCTACAAACCAAAAGTGATTTAATGTGGAATAGATACAAACATTACAGAAATTTAGTCAATAGGATGGTTAATCAACAAAAGAAGACTTATGTTGACTCTCTTCTGCAAGAGAATAAGGGTAATCCTGGTGCCCTATGGAAAACATTAAAGAGTTTAACAAATGCAAACGTGTCTGAAAAGATAACGTTACAAGTCTCGGGAAATGAAATAACTGATTCAGAAGAAATAGCAAATATTTTCAGTAATTATTTTAGTAGTGCTGTGAAAAGTTTAACAGACAATTTCGGAGCATCAGGTGATGAACTGATAACCACAAAATGCAGTACAGCCGAAGATAATCGGTCGAAACCCACAGGACTGTTTGATCTGCCAGTCATTGATAGCGAGTTTGTAAAGAAAGAAATTAAGGGTTTCCCGATAACCAAGGCTATAGGGAATGATGGACTAGGTGTCAAGATTTTGAAACATGTTTGTAACATTAACATTGTCATAGATACTCTGACGTATTTATACAATCTGTCACTGACAACGGGTGTAGTTCCTGCTGCATGGAAAATAGCAAGAATACAACCCATCTTTAAGAGTGGAGATAAATTTCAAGTATGTAATTATAGGCCGATAGCCATTCTCCCTGTCTTATCCAAAATAATAGAAAAGGCAGTGAATAAGAATCTCCTTGAATATCTGTCAGAAAAACGACTACTTAACCCCAAACAGTTCGGTTTTCGACCTAATCATTCATGTGAGACCGCCCTAATCTGTATGGTCGATGAATTAGCAATGAATGTTGATAAAGGGTACGTGAATGGATTAGCACTCATAGACTTACGCAAAGCGTTCGACATGGTAGATCACCGTATTCTCATAAGTAAATTAGCTAAATACGGTTGTTCTGATAAATGTCTCACTTGGTTTAGGTCCTATCTTAATGACAGAAAACAATATGTTTCAATGCAAAATAAAAAGTCAAACATCATGAATGTCAACACAGGAGTGGCTCAGGGTTCAATCCTTGGGCCCCTCCTGTTTACAGTCATGATAAACGATCTTCCCACGCATATAAGTAAAGGGAATGTTTATATGTACGCAGATGACACGACAATATCCGTCTATGGAAACAATCCAACAGATATAGAAATCCAGCTTAACAATGTAATGCAAGAAGTAAATGAATGGGTTGACAGAAACAAGTTGATCCCCAATCCAGAGAAGACCAAAGTCATGCTAATAGGCTCAAGGCAAAAATTACATCGATTTTCAAATCTAAAGTTGCATGTTACATTAAAGGGTAAATCTGTTGAATGTGTTGATGAATCTAGGTGTTTAGGTGTAACCATAGACTCTAGCCTTGACTTTAAGTTACATACTGAAAAGGTGTCTTTAAAGGTGAAACAAAAACTAGGTGTAATAAGAAGATTAAAAACATATTTTTCTACTAAACAATTATCTGATATATATTGGGGGTACATTATACCCCATGTTCTTTACTGTTGTAATGTATGGTCGCGCAGAAGTGTCGGGAATTTCAATACCTTAAACAAATTACACAAAAGAGCTGCCTACATAGTATCAAATAAGTCATGGGATATACCGTCCCTTGATGTATTACAGTCACTATGCTGGCCAACTCTTGATAAATTGTTCTGGAAAACAATGTGCTGTTTAATGTATAAATGTGTAAATAGAATAACACCCGGAATCGTTTATGACAGATTTATACTCGTCGACGATGTTTCAAAACGAATAACTCGCAACACAGATAAGAAAATGTTGCGATTGCCAAAATGTAAAACAGAATTTTACAGGAAGTCATTCATTTATTCAGGGAGTGAAATTTGGAATGATCTTCCACTTGAACTTAAAGAAGCACAGAGCCTAGCAGTCTTTAAGAGAGCTCTAAAAGAAAATCTCACATGATAAGGTGTTCTTCTGCATAGTTGATTTTTATCTTGACTTCATTTTCATTTTTTACTTGACTTCATTTTACAATGCTTATAATTATCATTAATTCTAAACTGTTGTTCTATTGTGCAAAATTATATTCAGTTAATGTATTCCTATGTTTTGGTTTAATTTATTTTCATAGTTGATTTTATCATTATCTATTCAGTTTTTGAAATGTTACTTCAATCCATTATCATATAATGTTTAATTTATTTTTCATAGTTGATTTTATCATTATCTATTCAGTTTTTGCCATGTTATTTGACTCCATTATCATACAATGCTTATAATTATCATTAATGAATTGTTGTTCTTTTGTGTAATATTATATTCAGTTAATGTATTCCCATGTTTTTGTTTAACTTATTTTCATAGTTGATTTTATCATTATCTATTATGATTCAGTTTTGTCATGTTACTTGACTCCATTACCATATAATGCCTATAATTATCATTAATGAATTGTTTTTCTTTTGTGTAATCTTATATTCAGTTAATGTATGGCCATGTTTTTGTTTAATTTATTTTGTAGTTGACTTTTATTATTATCTAAACCATGCATATATTGTGTTAAATGTTTAATAATCCGATATTGTACAGTTCTAATTGTAATTTATGTAATTTTTTAATGTGCTGTTTTTATAATCAGGGCTCTGTGGAAGACCAGGTTTATATTTTTGTATACTGAACAGACTACCCTGAATAAAGAAGTGAAATAAAAAAATAAAAAAAAAAAAAAAAAAAACCAAAATTATCTAGAAATATTTATTTCTAAAGACATCTTCAAGTAATTTGATATACTCCAAAGTGTGACACATATTTCGACAATACAGATATCAATAGAAATACATATGGAACTTGAGAAAAGTATTAAGGGATATTGCATAGTGAAAATAAAGTGATAAACAGTTGCTGACGCTTATCAGCAAATGTCGTTATCAAATACTGTATTTAAAGCAAATGAAATACTATATTTATCTATTTTAGGCAGCATCGAAAGATAAGTCATTTACTTTGTTTAAGCTATATAATTAATTTATCTTTTGAATATTGCTCTCAGGATTCGAGTTATCCAAGTGGCCAGGACGTAACCAAATAATCCGGAAAACCGGCGTGACTTACTACATCGATATTGCACATACCAAAAACAGCGTAGCCTTCTGTAAGAATTGGTTTGAAGAAGAGGCATCGAATGAGGCCAAGATGATCCCAGGAGTCATCAAAAAGGTCCTCATTTTCAATCTAGGCGGGGATAGAGACGGTTACACGATCCTACGACCTCTTGCGGTAAGTATTCGTTTAATTTACCTTCATTCTACGTCATTAAAGTTGCAATGTTGTAATTGAGCTAAGGAAATAGCCAACGTTGTCTTCTGTTCATAAATTTTCACCTCACCTTCTATTTCAAGAGAACGTTCTTGGAGAGGTTTCCTATTGCTTTTCCTAATGCGTGATGAAGACAATTTTAGTTTGAAAAGAGAAAATCCAAACACAATCACATATTCAACACCACTATGTAATTAACGTAAATATAAATAAATTAAAAAGAACGAAATAGGGGGAAATATTTTGATGCGAACAGTTCGATGAAGAAAAAAAAGTTAACAAGATTGTTTTTTTTAACTGTGTGTGACGAACAGAAGACACATTCATGTAAATTACATTTATTACATGCACATTTGTTATTGACACCTCCTTCCTGGTTGTTTTCAGTTAAGTATATTTCCTTTCTTTATATCTTTAATGGTTTTCAATGAAGTGATGTTACTTCTATCGGCCATTATTTCTTCTTTCATGCTGAAGAAATTATCCGATCTATTTTCTTCGTCAGGAATACGGATTCGACGCTGTTGTGTTTTCAGTCATGCGAACCGTAGCATCTCAAGAAAATGAAGTGAGAGGTAAATCACGTGATCGTAGCTAAAATTAACACTTCAATTTAAATCCTCATACTTTAAGGCTTTGCCATCTTGGAATTTAAATCAAAAAAAGATCGGGATGGATAAATCCCATCAAAAGTCCGGTGAGTAAAGTCAATGCGGGTCGACCTTTTTATTTTGTTATACGAGCCTTTTTTCAGCACCCCCCCCCCCTTTCAGCAAAAGTCCGGTGTGTAAAGTCAATACGGGTAGACCTTTTGCTTTTGTTACGAGCCGGAGAGTTTGGGAACACGCACGGTATCCCTCAGTTCACGGAGTGGGGGGGGGGGGTTCAAATACACATAAAAGCCCATAAACAATTTTTAATCAAATTTAAGAGACAAATCTTGTTTAGTGCCTCGTTATAAATGATTTCATTCACCTGTTACGAATAATTGTATTTGAATAGTTAGAATACGAATTGCATACATTCCGTGTTGTTAGGTAGACAAGCCATTTAAATAAATAGAATAACATATGGTACCCGAGCTCTAGTTTGTGCTACAGATTTTGGTTTCAATATCACTTTATTTATAATTATAATTATCAACAAAAATTGAAGAACAAAATAGAAAGACCGCAGAAATTAGAGGAAAGCTTAAATCATGCCAAACGAATGACTTTGCAGCGCTGCTACACCATATCATTGTGAATAGAATACCATTGCATGATTTTATTATATAAACTTTTAGTTTAAAATCCTTGTCTATTACTAATTTAGGGTTTTATTCTTAAATTTATTCAGATTACAAAACTATTCAGTTGCTAGATGATCAGCTGATGAAATGCCACCAGCATCTGGCAACCTTCAAGAAGCTCCATGGTGATATTTGCAACTCATTCCAAGATCAACAATGTCATCGTGACGTCATGCAAGCGCCAATCTTTAAAGTAACTCCTTCCGCTACAGAAGCAATTCAATGGGTTTTAGGCTCTCGTATGTGTCTTGATGATAGGGAATCGATGGACATGCCCGATGGTGGAGGATTCTTGCATGAAGCTGACCATCTTCAGGTTTTGGTCACTGGTAGTAATTTCCTTGCCGGATCGGTTATCCATGTTATCGAACCTAACATGTTCGATAAAGTAGAGTACTAAAGTTTATTTTCTTGGAATGTCTTGCCGGGTCAGACGTCTATATTTTAATTGTTTTTTGGTTAAAGGAAAAAAAACGAATCGCGCGATTTAATTTGTAAAAATAAAGTGCTTATTATTTTGTCAATACTGTATAACAAGCTTGGGTTTTCGGTTTCTTGCAATTATTTGTTCAAATTCAAAACAATTTTTTTATAATTTACATATTTTTACTCAGTTTCAGAAACGCATGTATTCAGATTTATTCATGGTACTTCTTTATTTGCTTTTCATTGCAACATACCTGTACTTTTTGTGTGATTTATTTTGGAAGGAAAAACGATGTGGTTATACCCTAAACCCAAATTTTCCAAAGATGTGCTCTAAATGAATGGAAAGCAACAACAACAACAAAAAAACGAAACAATAACAAGTGCCCCTATCAGCTGGTATGACCACTTTTCCGGCCTCTATGTTCTTGCGAGGGGAAGGGGGTGTACAGCAGACAACGAATTCCTCCTTCATTGAATGACAGACAACAAACGTATAACAAAACTACACTGTTGGTCATAATGGTGGAATATTTATTTTTACCCCAGTTTAGGGAAGGATTTAAAAAAATTATTTATTTCTAATAGATATAGATAATGGCATACATTCTCAGATTGTATTGAATATTAATTTGCGAGTGTTTGTTTTGCGTGACTGCTTAATCATAGGTGTGCTACTATGCTAATCAGCTAAGGGACCTACGTCCTTAAGTCATAATTGACAGTAATGAGGAATAATGCCTCACAAAAGGGCACTAATGTATAGCTGATCGACACGATTTTTATCCTGGGGCCTCACAGTAACGAGGCCATTGCTTAGCCCCTGAATCATGACTGTACGCAGTGTTTGCTAGGGTACGCGGCCCCTTCCACAAATCCCCGAAAACGAAGAAAATGCAATAAATTGTCAAAAATTCATTGCATTTTCCCCCGGCCCCCAACAGGAAAAATTTCTCTGTAGGGCCATGCATAATGGTTTAAGGCATGGCCACACAGTTCCCTAGCTGATTAGCATAGTAGCACACCTATGATTAAGCAGTCACGCAAAACAAACACTCGCAAATTAATATTCAATAAAATCTGAGAATGTATGCCATTATCTAGATCTATTAGAAATAAATAATTTTTTAAAATCCTTCCCTAAACTGGGGTAAAAATAAATATTCCACCATTATGACCAACAGTGTAGGTAGAGAGATAGAGAAATTGAGGGAAACCCGTAAAAGATGACCGGACTCCTTATATCATGCCTCCCGCGCGGAAAATAGTTGCACCACACTGAATACTATCTCGCATTACGCTTCATAGTATACAAATATATACTGTTTTGAGAGATTCTAGATGAAATTATGGGCAAGAGTTGACTCCAATAGTACTATTTGAGTCACCGGGGCCCATAGTTTAAACCAGTAACTCGAAAAGAAGGCAGGGTTTATTGTTTTATATCCTGCATCAATTTTCTTTTGGGGGAGCAGTCAATAGCACCTTTTGCAAAATTGTTTTTTTAATTTTTGATCACGTGAAGAGCTCTTGACCAATCAAAAACCAATACGTTGTTGATGCAGTAAATAATGTGGTATACATCCCCACCCACTACACCTTCTATAGGCGCACAGTTTCGGATGAGTACCTATAATGATAGAAAGGTATAAACAAGTTCTGAAACGTATATAGAGCAATTGAATTTTACCTGGCACCATGGATGAATTAGGGTGAGAAAATTAAAATGCCTAATGGAAAAGGGGCAATGTTTGGATTCATGAAGAAAACAAAAACATATTAAAGGTGCTTAGACATTTATCAAATTCTTGTTTTTGTTCTTAAATCAGAAACAGTAAAAGGATCAATGTATGCAATCAGTGGAGGATTTCACTCTGCCATGCGCTATTTATTTTGCTCATTAATCAATATACATCACCCATGTGCGAATATTGTGCTGTATATTTTAGGACGGATAGGTTGCGAAAAGCGTTAAGTTAAAATTCCCCTCATTATGATTGATTTTGCTGACGAATTATGAAAGTTACCGGATAAGCTAATATATTATAGGTTACATTACTTGATTCTTTAACATTAATAGGTAATGTATACTTAAACTCAGATAAATATCAATATGTTAGCGCTCACCTGATCAAAGTAGGCTTTAAAGATAAAGACCAGTTATAGTCATGCGATTGCATTGTGAAAGAAACGTTGTGGAGTCGATCAGAAAAGGTTGATCGTCTAGCATATAAGTATTGGTGTGTACTGCAAGGTTCTGGAATCATCAAAACGATAAGAAATTTGGCCCAGTCTTCGAAAAGTTACAATCACTGTACACAGAAAGATGTATATGGGACTACGCACACGTGCGCGACACGTGCGTTTATCTCTCACATTCCAATAGATAAACTAATTTACCAAATATATCAATTAGTAGGGGGTTTCCCGGCAAATTGTTATCATCATGTATTAGTCAAAACATATTCTTTCACATGATTGGTAATAAGAGCTTCCATTTCATTTTTTGAAATTGGGGCGTTTCCAATACTGGTCTTTACCTTTAAACAAACATTTTACAATCGACCCACCGCACCTGTTATTAAGAGTTCAATTATCTGAAAGTGGAGTGAGGTCGTCGTTAAAATGATAATCAAATATTACGTCAAATATAGATGAAGCAGGGTTATGGAAATAAAGATCAGTTAGTTCCTCTTTTCTCGGCTAGTAAGAGTATGTGACATTAAAGCCGTGCCGGGCGCTCGACTATTTAAGTGCTATGTGCATGACGAAACGAAAAATGCCCAAACCGGTTAATATAGTAAAAAAGTGACATCCCTCAAAATTCCGGTTACCAGGAAAATAACAAAATTTTGCTGCGATACCCATTGGTTTACGTGTTAAAATGTTCTTTGAGCGAGCGCGGACACCATACAGTGCTTTTTGCTAGCGATTCCCAACTGATCGAAAATTTCAGTCGATTTTCCGGCAAAGATAAACGGATAGTTTCTCAGATTTTGCGTGATGTTTTAATCAATCTTCACTCATTTAAAGGAGAAGGTAAGAAATCTTGGTAGTTTTTTTGTGTCAATTTGGTATATAAAAGGGATATCGACTGCTTTAATATTCGAGGACTGGCTGTTTCTATACTGGTTCGCGGGCAAGTTGCATCCGCTCCTATCATGTGATAGGAGCGGATGCAACTTTCGTAGCAGTCGATATCTCTATATAATCTTCGTTTAAACTACTGGAGCTTCGGCTAAATTTGTAGCGACGTTATAAATAATAAAGTGGACTTCAACTGTATTTCCGAGCCTGTTTCGTATTCATTTTGTTTCTGAACTCGTACTCTCTCTCTCTCTAAAAAAGGGTGAATTTTCACTCTATTTTCACTTTCTTGGGAGTGACGTCCGTGATCACTTGCTCAGGAGTGAATATCGATTGATTAAAAAGTGCTCTTTGAGAAGAAAAGATGGAATGCTTTCTCTATTTTCACAGCATTTTCACTCTCCAGAGGAGTGACGTCCGTGATCACTCGATTTTTTTTTTAAATAGATAAACGAACTAATTTATCACGATTTCTCAAACCACAGTATTAATTAAAATTGTACGATAGTACCAGTTACAGGTATTTAACAAAAGTTGTTACGGAACTATTTACCCGGGCACAGGATTCCATTACGTTTTTTAAATGTATAGTGTACAGTACTGAAAATGAGGGAAGTGGATAGAGAGAGAGAGAGAGAGAGAGTATGGGTGACAGAGAGAGAGAGAGAGAAAGAGAGAGAAATAAATAAATAGAGAGATAGAGAGAGAGAGAAAGGGAAAGATAGAAAAAATGGGAAAGAGACAGCATGATAGAGTGAGAGAGAAAGAGTGAGAGAGACGGACAGACAGAGAGAAAGAAGGAGAGAGAGAGAGAGAGAGCGCGCGCGCCTGTTGGAGATCAGACATACGGATAGACAGAAAGAAGAGGGAGAGGGTGGAGAAAGTGATATGGACGAGATGATACTTAAAAAGTAGGATAGATTGTAAGTAAGCCAAATTCTTCGCTTTCTAAGATTACAACTTTTCATTTTATTTACAGTATGGGAGCAGGAAGCATGCAAACAGGGGAAATATATATTGATATATTGATGTCAAGAAACATTGTTTTATAGCTTAATTTATATCTTGACCTTGAGAGGGAGCTATTCAACATAAAGAGTTTATTATTTACAATTTCATAACTTTAGACTCGATTTCAACCGCGACAACGATCACTGAACATTGTAGGATCGTATATGCTTCCAATATGTTCATTTGAACCAAATTCATGACCCCATACCAAAACTTTGTATTACCTTTAATGAATGGTGCCATATATTAAACTGTGAGTGTTTTTCGGGGGTAACTATTGCTCATTGCGTGGTCATTGACTGGTCATTCAAATATAATCGATCTATAATAAGTCGATGGTCAATATGGTAAAACCATGTTAGAACAAACAAAAACCGATATATGTCACACTGTCCCACATGTGAAAGGGGGTGAAGAAGAAAAAATAAAGTAATTTTAGAATTTATCAAAAATAAGAAATTACACAAATGAAAACAGTGGTAATATCTCCTTTTTATGTTATCATACTTGTGTATTTTTTTAACGTATGACCTGATGGAAATTGCTATTTTCATATTGATTAGAGCTCTACTTCATCATCATCATATACAGCCCTGCTGTTTAAGGCTTATTCTGTATGGGGTAAGTTTTAATGATAATATGGCGTGGTGATACAACAGTGATGTTAAACATCCACTCACGTTTTCATTTCCAGTTTAATAATAATAATAATAATAATAATAATAATAATAATAATTATCTTTTAAAGTCCACTCCAAATTTTATTAAACCGAAAATGGAAATTCTTTTTGCCCAATTGATCGTGAGCTCGGCAGCCACTGAGCAGCGCCAGATCGACGTTGCTCTATCCCTTTAATGTTGAACGCCAAACAAGGTAGCCGCAACTCCCGTCTTTTAACGTCATTTTGTATGACGTGGCCGGGGTTCGAACCCACAATCGTGAACTACTGAAGTATTCCCCCAAAATGCAAATCTTTAAACTTTATTATTGATATGTCAATCTAATGACCTAAATAGTTGTTTTTTTCTTGTAAGGTTGAATCAAATTAACAAACTTTAAAATGAGACAGTAAAGGGGTAATGTTCATTAGCTCCAACAGAAAGAGATTGTAGGGTTACAAAGCAAAACATTAATTGTCTTGTCATAAAAGACGTGTCTTTTTAAATATATAAACGATTTGACTTGTTCTTTTTCATTACTTTTATGTTTAATTCATGCAGATCTAAGAGGCAAGATTGAACCACATTTTGTGGTCAAGCAATTTTATAAAATAGGTTAATTTATGTAATACAAAAGTGATAAAGATCACGAGAGGCAACCGTAATAATCATCCCTTTCGTGATTTTAATGGAAATAAAAGTTTCATGATACATATAATCCTAAACCGTTAATTCTTTTACCGTATAATAACAAAATAAAAATAAAATAATCATTAAAACGACATACAAACACACAACTACAGCAAGACAGAACAATATAACAACCCTTGATAGAACTTTAGAATTGGCGTAGTGCCCCACTGGCCTATTTGATATGTCAAATCATTTACAATTACTTACGACAAATATATTGTTTGAAGTGCTTTGAGAATGGTCTGTAGTATTCCATACCGTGACTGGGTAAATATTCACAACTTTAAAATAACAAATTTTACAATAAATTTATTGCATAGTATAATATTTTTACTAAAGCTTATGGCACACAATATATTTTCTTTGATATATTCCTGGAATCAATAAAATAAAATAGAAAATTACTAATTCGTTATGAAAACGTACATATTCATTCAAAATTGGAATCACACTTTCATATAAATAATAAAGCTTTTGAAATGAATCGTTCATGGATAGGCAAAATAGAAGTAAAAGTTCACTCGAATATTTGGCTAAAAATTAGTTGATGTGTCATTATAATGCAATATAATAAATTATTTGTAATCAATTATCCTCAGCTATTACATAATGATATGTGAATCAAAGCGCAATTATATCTAATATAAAAGAAATGAGACAGGAAACTACATGTTTTGTAATACGAACATACAGTAAACTTGTGATATTAGAGTTAATGACCGACTACTAGTAAAACATAAGGAAGATAATCTATTGCATCTGAAATGTCTTGGTAAATCGTACAAATGAGAAAATGTACGATTGTCTTTTATGATCCCACTATAGTGCGAAAATTCAAAGGTATCATTATTTATCTTATTAATTTAGACATGAGAAGATACGTAGTATTCAATTACATTGAAATCACTGTCTGCGCTTCATTACTTACTTTATATTTACATACAGGGGATATAATAATTCTTATAATCCCCGACCAAAAACCCTTAACTCCAACACTCGACCCCACATTATACGTAACGCTAACCCCAATCCAAATTTCCTAACCTTAACCCTAAAACTAACGTCAACCCAATTACAACCCTAAACTTGTAACCTGTAGTCTTTACGATAAAAAAAAAAACGCTGTGAGCAAATTTCCGATTATCATTGTGACTTATCACAATCCATCGTAATAACAGATAATAGCCTGTAAATGAAAATGAAAATTGACACCAGCGACTATTTACTGAAATAAAACCCCGTATACAGTGTATACAGATTGCTTTTCATGGTCATACTGATTAATGATGTGTGTTTCTCTCCTCCTCCTCCTTATCGATTCAGTTACCATGCATATTGCGCGTCGTTTCTTTGTTTCAACAAATTCAACAACATCAGAGGGAAAGATATAGACCAAGATCAAGAAGATCCACTTAATTCTTTCCTTTACAGGTTAAACATTGTCATGAATTTTATCATAAAAATCACGAAATAGTCTTGGAAAATGCAAATTACAAATAAACCACATTGACGCAGTTTGTATAAATCTACCTTTTAAAGGTTATCATGATACAGGTACGTATGGAATATTTCCATGCTAAGCTACACGTTTAAAATACAAGAATATGTCGGTTAAAGTGTGACCTTCTACAATGATATAGAAACATACATTATTTATTGCATTACATATAACAAATAAATTCATATGACATGTTTATCGCTCTCTCTCCCAATCTGTCAGTGTATTTCGTCATGAGTTTGAAATGCGTTGTAAATTTGTTTCATATTAAATTGTGACATCAATAGCATGAGCAATACCATTATTAATTTAAAACATTAAATATGGCATTCTACTAACGAACCAGGTGAGGTTTAATACTGATAATAATAATAAACCTGGATTCATACACCGCCTAATCCGAAAATCGTCTCTGTAAGCGCTTTACAGATGCTATTATACCCCAGGTCAACGGATCCATTCATACACACAATGTGCACGATCTTCATTCCCTGGGGAGTATTCAGACCATAATGGTCACCGTGAGGGCATAACTAAAGTAATTACTATCACAAAAGCTTTCATCATCCTATCAAAAGTACATGGTTACCTTGTCAGAAGAAATTCTTAATGCACTGCAGTCTGTATAGCTTTGACCAATCCAGGTTAAACAGGTATAGGGGCGCCGAATTATGAGCGCCTTAAAGGAAACATTATTCCCATAGATGAATGAGTTATAAACCTAATTAGATACACCATAATAGAAGGGCTCTTCATTCATCATATACGAAAACGAGAGAACCTCGTGACATTTACATCATTTTGTTTGGCCACATACATAAAATCAAAGGAGGTAATGTAAAGATACCACATTCACAAGACCCTTAACACTTAAATCATGCTTGTGCCCACGAGTGCGCTCTTTAGGTGTAAAATATATTGATAACTACAGTATACCGCCTGTTGTCACCTGACCAAAGCCGCATGACATATTGACAACATATAAAATCATTTCTACACGATACATCTCCGATTGTACTGTTAAAGAATAATATTCTTAAATTCTAATAATGTGAACAAGTGGAAGTGACATATCGTAATGAAGCTGATGGAAATTTCGCTTAGTTAAAGCTTATTCCTGACAAGAGAAGCAAAGATACCATCTTTTTTCTTTAGCAGAGATTCTGGTGTTCCCACCTCTGCGACGTGTCCTTCGGAGAGTACAACAATCTGATCTGAATCCAGGATGGTTGATACACGATGCTGTTATACAATTTACAAAAGATACATAAATTAATTGCGTTAACGTATATTGAATAACAAAGTAGACGTTAAAGATTATTTCTTTACATTTCTGCCATTTATTTTTCTTCTTTCTTTTTCTCCCTTTTCTGTATATTTGTTTTCTTCTCCTTCCATCAATTCCCTACTTCTTCTTTTTTTCTTTATCCTTTTCTTTTCCTTTTCATTTTCGTATTCTTCTTATCCTCATCCTCCTTCTTCTACCCCTTCTTCTTTTTCTTCAGCTTCTTCTTCTTCTTCTTCTTCTCCTACTTCATCTCCTCCTCCTCCTCCTCATTATTCTTCTTCTAGTTCTTCTTGTCCTCTCTCCTGCTATTAAGATTTCCTTCTTTGTCACTAAAGGTGAGACATCACCAATTTGGGATCCATTTATTGAGGATGAACATAGACATGTTGTTTTGAATTGTTAATCGATGAATTAAGTATAAAAACAGGTTTAAGAATAAAAGTTTCAAATTAATTCAATTTGATCATCGACGAATATTGCTGAATATGCATGTGCTACAGATCTTGAGTACTTACCGCAATTGTGATGACGGTTTCCTTCTGGAAAGCAGTTGCGACGACTTCCTGTAGAATAGCATCCTATGAACGAATATGGAATAAACATTGAATATTTTTTTACTGTCAAAGCAAAACACAATACCTTTTAATGGACTGAAGAATATGCACTCATAACGTAGGAAATTGTTAAAAGCTCAGCAGTAAAAAAAAAATGCAATGCCTTTTCATTACAAAATAGAAAATGTTTGAAACGCAGGAAATGATTAAGGTTAACAAGAGAATTAACAAATTTGATTAAAAAAGAAAGAATGGAAAGTCATATCGATGGTAATATTAAGAAAACATAAACGTTGACTGCGGGGGAATTAAAACTTCGACAAGCACAAAAAAAATTATACCGTGTGGACATCAATGGAGGCCGTTGCTTCATCCATTATCAGAATGCGACTTTTCTTGAGCATAGCCCGAGCAAGGCAGAAGAGTTGTCTTTCACCCACACTGAAATTATCTCCTCCTTCGTGTACCAGCGAGTCTAGCGATTTGAATTCCCAGTTTAGCAAAAGGTAAAAGAAAAAAGAATAACAAAGAGCGATGTTAGCTTTAGCAATATACTCATATGCAAACTATTACAGACATCATTTCATAGACGTCATGTTTCATTAAATGTGGCTCATAATTTCAAGTCACTTTTGTATACAGAGGAAAATTTGGCTTTTTATTTCATTTGTTGATACATTTTAGAAAAAGATTTAAAGTCAATGCACGCTTCCATCATCTATCACGTTGATCATTGATAATTGTGTAAGAAGAAAATAAACCTACCGAGATTGTTTGGAAGATCTCTCACAAGCTCCTTGAGTTGGGCAACTTCCAATGCTTCCCATATATCAGCATCTGATTGCCTTTCCTCAGGGTCTAGGTTGAATCTTTATTTGTCAGAAAGAAGAATGGTCAAGAGAATAATGGCCGTAAGAATGGATGGGACTACAGAAATTCGTTATTTTGGAGGGGAGATCATTGGAAAAAAAAATTTATTCTGATGAATACCATTGCAGGCCATGGAGTGCACTTGTGGACAATTTTTGGTACTAAGATATCTCAACTGTTCTTGAATTCAGAAACAAATATAAATCAGATTTTCTTAAATAATGAGTAGTTTTATTTGATCTTATTGCCTTTGGTGTGATTTATGTAATCAGTTATGTTGTGTTTTATGTGATTATGCTGTGTTATATGATTTTTAAAAATAAATTTTAAACAAATATTTTTGAAAAAATATAGGATTTGTCTTAACAGGCTACGGCCTTTGTTGATCCTTCGCATCCACCACCCTTCAACCTTGTTACATAGTGCTATGTACACAAATGGTTGTTATATTAATATTGTTAATTTGTACTGATTTGTTTGAATATCTTCTCATGTATTTTTAAGAGATGTGAAATATAATTGAATTGAATTGAATTGATCTGAAAGTGAAGTGAAAGTGAAAACGTCAATGTATATATTGATATATGCATGTTAAACCTGAAACTTGTCTTCAAAGAGAAATGTTATGCTGACTACGAAATTTGATCTGTGAATATATCAACTGACCTAACTGTGCCTCCGAACATGACAGGGTCTTGAGGTATAATGGCAAGACGACTTCGCAAATCGACGAGAGACAGCTTCCCAATATCGATGCCATCGATGTGAATAGATCCTGGATATAAATAAACATCATAAATAACAGATATAAAATTGTTAGGACAAGCATCCTCGAAATACACTCATAGATGTTTTGGTAAATCGTCACAGTCATGATTATTCAATTTACCGTCCTCAACCTGTAGGCTAAACATACAGATAAAGGAACACCTTCAACCCTAAACTTAAAAAAAAGGTTATCTTGATTTGCTCATCACTGATATATTTTGATCTTGGTTCATGGATTTAAAATGTACATTCATGTGGGCATATTCACTCGTTGATCTCAAACGCATGATTTAGGTGAATACAATTGAACACACTATTAATATCTTAAATATGCCTAACGGATGACGTAAATAAAAAATGGAACCCAAACATTTTAGGAAGAACGAGAGCGTCATCTTATGGATCACAATCACATAATTTATATTTGTTTCTATTTTTAACATAAGACTATAGGGAACTTACCTTTAAATGTATCGATGATGCGGAAAAGTGTCAATGTCAGAGAGGACTTCCCGCTGCCTGTTCGGCCACAAATACCAACCTATACAAGTAAGTGGTAAATGCCAATGCTTGTTATATATTATGAGCAAAGAGAATTAGAACCCGTAAATATTGTATAAATTCGCCTGTCAAAAGGAAAGTAACAAGAAAGAATTGTCATAGTCGAATAATCATTTGCTCTACATCAAATAATTGGAACCTGGTTCATCTGCATGTACTTCAAATCATACCAACAAATTACAATTTAAAGCGCTTTATTCTTTTTTTAGAATAACAGGGTGCCAATGCTGCCATTTCCGACAAATTATAATGGGAAGAGAGAAAACCTTTTTTTCTAGTATATTATTTATAACTTTGGTAGTTCTTTAGAGGTCGGACATTTCAAAGTACGGACACTATCTATCAAAATATTGTTTACTCTTTTATAAGTCCGGTTTTCGTAGTGGAGATAAACAAAAAATGGCATTTTTCAATAGTGATTTCGACATTCACCTCATGAATTTGGATATCGTCAATGATATCACGAACCAACGAATTAGTTTTGCTGTGAAGATAAAATTTCATAGAATTCAAGTACGATGGGATGGGTATGGAATAGATTACCTTCATGCCTGGTTTGAAATCAATGCTAACATCCTGAAGGATAGCAGGTAGGGTAGCCGCATACCTAGCATGTACTCGATTGTATAATACATGGCCCATCTCTGGCCAATTACGGCTTGGAGTAACAGATCCTGTTTTAAAATAAATGAATGATAGCGTTTGATTATATACAAAGACTTGATTTCAACAAGCCTACCTATCATGTGTGCTGGTACACTTACACCATCTTTCTCTCTCAAAAACACACTTCATTACAAGCTTCCTCATGGACATGTCAGAAGCTAAGTTTGGAATGAAAAGAACAACATTTTGGTTCAAAGTTTGTGTATCATCAAATCAGATTCAATCAGTATACAAGCTTTCACAAAGTTTATGTCTTTAAAACCGGTAAATATTCAATTTGGATGTACACCCTAGCACAATGTCCGATCTAGAAACATGATGTATAAATACATTTTATGAATGTATTAAACATTACACATTGAACAGCGTTGTAAAATTGTCCGTCAGCATTAGTGGCTGTTTTAGATCAATTGATAATTACATTTGTGGTATGATTACATCTTAAAGGAAGATGACCATACTTGACTACTTGAGTTACCTTGATATTTCTCGTTCTCTACCTTGGTATAGTACTTGATCCTCTCTACAGAATTCATGCCCAACTCGACACTAGTTGAATTACGAACAACCCATGTCAGGGAATATGCAGCCTAAGGAAGAGAATCAAATATCATGTAATCCTGGAAAGCTCATTAAATACTGGTTGTGCATTTTGATGTTGCAAATTTCAGAGATTCCTTATTTACAAATTTTATTGAATTTGATAAATGGTCCTACCCCCCCCCCCCCCCTCTCTCTCTCTCTCTCTCTCTATCTCGGTCTCTCTATTTTTCTTTTACGTTTCTCATTTCCTTTGCTTATGACCATCTCCTTCTTTTTTCAACCGTCTTAATTAAAATTACGTTGCAAAGTCTTAATCACATTGCTCCTTATTCTCTTCCAGCATTACTTCGCGATATTAAGTTTCCAGAAATAGTTAACAAAATGTGAAATTTATATTTACCTTGACTGCATATGTTATTGCCAAACCAACAAGACTAGCGCCAAAAGTAGCTGGATGAAGAGCCGAGGCAGCAAGACTAGTCAGTCCAGCTGCTAGAACAATCAGGGCTCCTATCACATCCTTTGTAAAATAGAGCAAAATAATAATGATAATAATGGTAATAAGACATTGATGTTAAAAGAAAAACGTTTCTAACAAATCATTTAGCTGATTCCGTAATCATTATTAGATAATTTACGTTCATTTTTCTTTAGTGCAGCCTCCTTCAGTACAATCATTAATCATTTATCAAGACCTTCAGAACAATGGAAGCAGGATCAAACATCACAAAGACAATAGTCGGCTTTTAATTCAATCTGAAGTTTTTTTTTAGGGGAAAGTAGAAAAAGAACTCACAAAATACAAATTTGATGTTATATTGTTTGACACACACATCCTTTTTCATTCAGGTGTTATGCACATGGCATTTTTAAATCGTAAATACAGATATATTGGTAAAAGTTTGAATACAAAAATTAATTTATTCTATGTTTCACGAGACTAAATGTTATTTATTAGAAATTGCTCCCTGCCTTCCCGAATGCAGCCAAGTTAATACGAATAGAATCAATTTTGTGTTGGTATAAAGATTATTCTTTCCCTCTCGTATTAGCTTAAATGATTTACGACATTTACCATATACCTTTGTATTTGAGCCACCCATTTCAAGTTCTTATAAAATCATGGCAAATTCCTGTAGAGCAGCTTTGTAGTTAATAACAGGCATTTTATTACCGTCAATAAAAAATCAAATTCAAACGTGTACGTCGGTCATATCCATCGCCACGATAACACAAAGATCAAATGCAGTATGAGCACCATTTTAAAAGTTTGATCTCTGAATGGAACGTGATACATACCAATCGGATCCCCAGCCATCGGTTACTATCTTGAAGAAAGCAGAAAGCCACGTGGTTTCTCTCTATTTTACGGACGATATTCTGCTTGAATCTTTTCTGAAGTCTGTAAAAAAAAAATCGTCTCACATTAGAAGGGAATGACACTATGGGAAAATGAATGAAAAGAGAAGGAAATGGCATATTTATTTTAACACAGTAGACGAGTAAGCATGTTTGTTTTTACACATTCTTTTATATACAATGACATGAGAGTTTCGTATGTATGGTATTGCCTATACTTACTCATCGTAATATATCTGGTGAAACCCTTTGAAAAATCCCTTATCTACAACAAAAAGTCTCTTAATTACCTGTAGGCACGAATAGTAGACAAACCTCCAAGCGACTCAGTAAAATGGGAGAAGACGGGTGAGGTGGAAATACTCACCAACCGTTGCATTTCCCTGTGTTATTCATTTGAAAACAAAACATTCAAAGTTTGATCATTTCTTAATGATAATTACCTATTCACACGTTAGGTCAACATGTTTTAATGTGTACAGTCTACATAGAAAAAACAACAACAACTTAATGATAATGTAGTATTCATATTGTATTCTAATGTAAAATATACATACGATTGTGATATTGAAGCTACTTTTATATTACTACTACTACTACTACTACTACTACTCTACTACTACTACTACTACTACTACTACTACTACTACTACTACTACTACGACTACCACCACCACTACTAGTACAACAGCTACTACGACCACTACCACTACCACCACTACTACTACTGTTACTACTACTACTACTACTACTACATACTAATACTACGTACTACTATCGAAACTGCTACTACTACTAACACTTTTTCCATATAATGCCTCTATCTCTGGTGAAAAGTGAACCCTTTTCATTATGAATATTGTCAAACAACACACATGATCACTATGTACTTATAATACAATCATTCCCCACCGCTGTGACAAAAGAGGTACATGTATCTCATGATCATAACGCTAAATCATTATGTAAAAGTTATTAAAACCCAGCATCAGTTTCAAAACTTGAGTTTATCTGTATATCCTGCCATCGATTGATTTTATTGACCGGGGCCTTTTTGTTTTTTGTTTCAGAATATATTTTATTTTTCATTCAATAAACCAAATTTAACACTATAACTGAGGAAGAAAAAAAGACATTTTGTTACATATAAAATCATTGATTTTGATAACTTAATTAATATACAAAAATACACCAAAAAAGCAGCTATTATATTACAAGTTATAACATTGAATAAAGATGAAATTAAAATGTTCTTCCTGACCCCCTACCCGTTGCACCCTGCCCTGCCCAACATAGCCTCAAATCCCCATCCCCTTCCTACCCCACCCTCCTCATCCATTCTAACTCCCTCCTCCCTCAAAAACTACCTGATTTGCGATGGGGACAAAACAAATATTGCCTTTAGGCTTTTGATATTTAGAGACAGTGAGCGTGAGGGTAAGGGGGCATCTCATGTAGATAATATATACGTAATTACAAATAGTTCTTGTCAACCAATTTGGCGTCTCACTACATCTAGTACCCCCAAATAAATATAGAATCAAAATTAAAAGGAAATCCTACTTTAAAGTAATACATAAAAAAACAAAATCTATCCCAAGCTTTATAAACAAACCTAACTGCTACATGACAACCACTATACATGCCAATTTTCCCACTTACCTTGAGCTATCAATAAAGACTTTCATAATTAGCATGTAAGCTAGGACGATTGGGATCATAGCCACAATGAAATACCAGGAGATGATTGCATTAATTATCACTCCAGCCATGGTCGCCAAGAAGAACTTAAATGTACCCAAGATGAATGGTCCTTGGGTCTACAACAGAGAAGGAAAATTGAAAATGTATTTGTCTCGTGTCATTCGGCAATTTTTCTTTTTCTTTATTTTCTACACTTTTGTACTGCAACGAAATGTATGGATGCATTGTTTGTAAGACGACACAATTACAAGCGTCATGCTTTCACAAATTATCGCCTCTTTCCGCCATGTATTTTGATGTAAACATAAAGTTTATATTTGTTTTTTGTAATAAGGAGGAAAAAAATGTGTTTGATTTTTAATTCTAAATCTGCCAAAAAAAAATCCTAAGATGAAAATAAATTATGTTTTTAGATACTAAAGGCACTGTTTGAAAAAGACAGAAATTCGTTACTCTTGACAATATTTTTTTTAACCTGCTTTAGATGCTGCATATATACCTGATCGAGTTTCTGCATGTCAGAAGCAAAACGGTTCATGATTCGTCCAATCGGGGTCGTGTCAAAAAATCTGCAAGATAATGAAATCATTGGTTAGACTGTTGCTATAACATAAAGAAGGAAGTGTATCACTCTAAACTTTACTGTCTTTGAATCAGAGTTGTACCATAAAATGTGAATACATTTGAAAAAATTATCCGCATGTTTATCGCCACATTGGCAGACAAAATGCACACACTATGTTTTTGAAGTATATTACATGCTGCTGTATAGATTCACATTCAAATTATAGTTGTCATTTCCAGAAGTACTATGTAGGGGGGGTTGTCAATCACCAAACTTTATGACTTGTATAATGGCTGATTTAAATCGCGCATCAGAATTTCGTTCGTCTGTGTGTTCGAAGTTTACTTTTAAATTATATCTTCTAAGGTAAATATGAGGGGTGTGGGAGGAAATCTTATCATCTCCTTTACACGACTCTTTCCCCTCTCCCATCATTTCTCTCCTACTAAAAAAAACACCTTTAGGTTACCATACAATGTGTGTTTTTGTGTGTGCGTATATGTGCGTGTGCATGTACGTGTGTGTGGGGGAAGGGGTGGAGACACAGTAGGCATGCCCCCCCCCCCCCGCCGCTGATCGTATGTGATCATCTTGCAGGTATACCGCTATGACAAAAGGGATGAATTATGGTCAAATGGAATTAGATCTCTCTAACATAAGTACTCACCTCATTGGTGCCCTCAGTACTCGAGTTAGCATTAAATTATGTAGATTCTTTGAGGTTTGGACACACTGAAAGAGTAGAATCATTGTCCATACCATACACAGGACCATATCAGCCGCATTCAGAGCACAGTATACACCGATATATCTCATCAGCAAAGCATTGCTTTCTTCCTGCAAACAAAGGAAACAATTGATGTCGATTTCCCACTGTCTAGATTTTTTTTTAAATCCGATGTGTTTACTTTTTTTGGTAAAGGTTTATCGTTGATTTCTTCCTCCTTTGGTGTCACTTCAATATCTGGTGTCACGGATTTCGTTTGAGAATGTATATATCATAGAAAAAACCTATTATTAGCAACGCACTTTCACTGAAGATAGTACACAGTGTAACGAACTTTTCTTCTCCCATCAATGATGGGAGAATTATCTTTCATCCCGTGATTTAATTTTGACCAATCGTAGCGCAAGATTCTTTGTATGAGAAAAACGATTTCAGATACATACAATTATTATTAAATATTGAAGTCATGGGCTTACTTTAATTTATTTTATAATGTGTAATAATTTGATCGTAGCACATGGATATTCATATATTTATGTGTCAGACTCGACTTGTTCTTTGAGTTTGTGTACATTATTTCCACCATTTTTATCTATCCGTTTGTTTTTTTTTATTTGCATTTTAAAATCTAACCTCAAGTTTTGGTTGCAAAAGGAAATAATAATACCAAAACAAATGATATGTAAGTCCCTAAGAGAAAACAGATTGGGATGTATAGGCCTACTTACAGCTGTTGCATTGCTGGGTAACTTGGCACCAGCCGATGACCAGACAGAAAGCCAGAATTGTGTTCCAGCTTTAGCCACGTTCTGAAGTATGGCAAAGAAGCAGACGAAGAAGCCTGGACATAATCCAAACTGACATAAATAATACCAGTAGTATCGAAAGGATACAGAACCACGATTCCTCTCCTCCGATTTGATCAATTTGCTTGAAGAGTCGTCATTTTGAGGACGTTGATCTAAATGTTAATAATGACAACAATTGATTAATTCAAATCCACACCCCTTCTTCTTTTGGACTTGAAGTACTAGCAAAAAACAGCGAATAATTTCTATCATATCCAGAGTTTGGTGAAAAACCGTATGCCATAACATCTTATTTATGTGATTTTAGGCACAAAAATCATCTAAAACAGTTTAAAAAAATAAATAATACTATTTGTGCACAATGAATTTAATGACTTCCTAAATATGCATTAGTCAGTACTGTGCCAGGAATGGAGTCGTGGTGCAAGTATACGAAACGTCAAGCCTCTTTGTCTAACCCATTTTGATTCTATAAATAGTACGACTATTTCATTGGTGATCTATTTTTACCTTTCTTAATCGTCGATATTTGTTTCTTGAGTACTTCGCGTTCTTCATCTGTTGAACTGCAGTATCCGACTTCTAATTCTGCTTCATCGGCCGCTATGAGAGATAGATTCCAAGACTCTACAAGGGAAGGATCCAATTTACCAATCTCTTGCACTGTTCCTTTCCTCGCTATACATCCGTTTTGGAGAAAGATCACCTGAGGACATCATCACAATCGTTGTATGTGTCATTCTTATATTTTATTCTTTAATCAAAACGATCATAACAATAATATTGCACATATTAAGACCGTTTTCAAGAAAGATCCCCGAAGGACATCGTTACAATCCTTTTGTTTGTCATTCCTATATTCTTTCTTTATATTAATCAAAACGATCATAACAATAATGTTGCAAAAGTTTAGACTAAAGAGAGGTATTTGTTTCGACAAACTAGAAACAAATCGATAACAATGTTTGGACGTAACGTTTGGCTATTTTCACTTATTTAATGTCTAAAAGATTTGATGTCTTTCCGCCTCGTCTACATCCTTTGCGGAAATCATTCACTATATACAGGTCACCATAGTCAGACCTGATAAGAAAGGTTACAGCATGGAGATCCCTCCAAGTAACCCTTGGATCATGAGATCTGGGGGGCGTTTCACAAAGCCTTTTTGCAATGACAAATGACAAACATCAGTGATAAATCTGCTGATAGCCAATCAGAAGCATGGATTTCAGTAGCTTATAACAAAAACTGTCGTTTGTTATTGATGACAAGTTTTATGAAACGCCCCCCCCCCCCAGTTGTAACCGTTGGATCATGAAATCAGTTGTAACCCTCTGTGCGGATGCATATACATAGTGGTTCATCCACGTCGCATCGTTATTATGTCGATTTGGTCCGATGTATAGTCCAAAGATTCATACCTCTAACACGAAACCTAAACCTTATTTTAACTGTCACTTTAACCCTAAATGTTAAGTGGGACATGTGACTTCGGACAGCAAGCAAAAACAACCCCTCCCCCTCCTAAAAAATGAAGAATTGAACCTGCACAATCTAAAGACCAAAATAAAATGTTAAACCACCATATAAAAAGGTAAAGTTGTTCTTTTCGAAATTTCAGAGTAGCACCTTTTACACGCTACAGATAGTGCTGGATCCAGCATGTTCAAAGTGTTAATATATCATTTTGAAAAAGCGATCACTTCTTGGCCCTTTTAATTTGTGATTTAACATTTGAGTTTTTAGAGTATATGGAAATATCACACGTGCAACCTAATCGGTCGTAATATTAACGGACTGGAAGACCAGTGGCGGGGACGTAAGACCCGTTGATTATCCCCATTACTGAAGAAATTCTGGAAAACGCCCATGCCCCCTTAAAACACAACCATTAGTACACTAAAGAATAAATATGTACGTTTCAACTTTAGAACCAAACAGAACCTGGAAAATATGATATTTTGTATGTCAGATTTTTTTATTTTATACCCCTCATTTTTTTTTTTTTTTTTGCATTGCGATTGTTCAGAGCACGAAAAGGAAATAATTTCATTATAAATTTGAGAGGCGTGAGAAAATTTACTAGTTGACATAGTATAGTAAATTCCGGAATCCACTTTTTCCGCCGATCACCGATATTTCTGCGTTCGATATCTAAATTTCTTCAATTTTTTGGAGTGCAACGAGCGCGCAAGCTAAATCCCCCGCCTTAAGTTTCTTCAGCCGGTATATTGTGCATAGCCATCGGCAGAGTTCCCGCACGGCGTGCGCGTAGGCTATAGTAGTCATAGTTCGACAAAATGGCTGCTTCCAGTAGTGACCGTGGTAAAATGGCTGCCAACTATCCCCGTTTTTACCTGTTAGATGTGGAATAAAAAATTTAACGAACGATGTGACAGCGAAAACACGAAGAAACTGATCAGGTTGGGACTTTCTGTGTTTCGGGATTTTTGTAAGGAAATAAAAGCCGATTTTGATGATGATCTTGTGGATATCGAAGCCCTAGACCTCCTTCTCTCGCAGTTCTACGATAGAGCTCGGAATCAGAATGGTGAATAATACAGCAAGAAAACAATGCAGGCTTTTCGATTTAGCCTTCAAAGGCATTTCTTGGCGTCAAGAAATGTGGACATTACCAAAGAGGAGTCGTTTTCGAGAAGTGGGAAAACGTTCAAATTTCTGTGAAAAATTTAAAAGCAACAAGAAAAGCTGCTGTGAAACACCACCCTGTCATTCCGAAGGATGACACGACGATGATTCTGCAAAGTCTATATTCATTCTCTGCCGATGGTCTCCAAAAGAAGGTTTTCCTTGACACCATGCTGTATTTTGCTAACAGAGGTATGGAGAATTTAGGGAACATGACGCCAGGAGATTTAGTCCTCCATGAAGCCGAAAGAAATAACGGTGAGTACTTTACACTCTGCGATATGCATGCCAAAAAATTATGCAGATGATGATGATGATGAGAGCCAGGCAGGACAGATGTATTCCTTGCCGGGAAATTCCCTTTTCTCTGTAACCAGCCTCAAAGTGTATCTGTCCAAAGTGAATAATGACTGAATGGCTGTGGCAGAGGCCGAAATCAAAAGCAAAAGAAACTGATGCTTCGTGGTATGCAAATGCACCGCTTGGAACGATTACCGTGGGCTCAATGTTGAAAAAAATCTGCCAAGAAGCAAGCTGCAAAATGTACACAAATCACTCTTTGTGAGCTACTAGTATCTCTCTTCTGGACGAGGCAGGATATCCATCCCGAGACATAATGACGGTGTCTGGCTAAAGAGCCGAAAGTTATATTAAGAACTACGCATGTACAAGTGAAGCCAAGAAAAAGATGATGTCAGAAATGTACTCCACAAGCCCGAAGTCCAGTGGCAGTGCAAATGTTGAGGAACAACCATCTACATCTAAGACAACTGTCACTGAGGACATGATTGCTGAGCCTGAGACTAAAACATGCCATCATTAAATGATAGTCAGCTGGGGCGAGTTTTCGATCAAATACCCGATCAATTTCCATTCAATCCACAAGGGCAGCCCACCACAACGGTCACTACTGGGAGCACCACTACCAGAGCCTCCTACACGATGAACGTCATTAAAATCGACGGCCAGAATATCACTTTCATGGCTGTACGGTCAATATTTTCAACAAGTAAAACAAGGAAAAGCCATCCATGTAAATACGTTCATGTTTCTGCTTTGACTTTGAGACTTTATATTGGATTGTTTGACGCTGTTACTTGGAAGTTCTGACAATTAAAAACGTGTTTTTGTAAAATTCATTTGACTTGAATTTTGATTTTTCTGGAACTAAGGAGAAGGAATTTTAATCTGGTAAGTCATTCACCTCTTCTTCCCTTTTGATTTGATTTGATTTGATTTGATTCGGTTTATTGAAATAAAAAAACATGCAGCTGGGAAGCTGAAATTATTCAATTTACAAAGTCAATACACCACAATAAACGATCAAAATATGAATGACTAAAATGTACGACTATAAATCATGCATAATGAAACAAAATGCGAATCAAATATTACATCAAAATCTAAATATATTACAAACATTAAATCGAAATCTAAATATATTACAAATATTACGTTAAAATTTAAAATATATTACAAATATTAAAAACATTAAAAACCTTAAAAAACATTAAAAGAGAGAGAGAGAAAAAAAAAAGAGAAAGAGAAAGACGGAACTAGAAAGAGGAATAGAAGGAAGAAGAAAAAAGAAAGAAAAGTTGATCAGGGAAAATACGAAAGATTGGAGGAGAGGGGTAGAGAGGGACAGAGTAGAACAAGTAAAATAGAAAAAGAGAAGAATCTCTGCCAAGTGCACCTCAAGTTGAAATATGATTTAAAAAGTAAAAATAACAGATTTAAAAAAGATTAAAAAAAAAGAAATGTTTGACAAAATAAAATATCAACGTCATTTAAACAAATTCGTTAAAGTCAAAAGAGTAAAGTTATGCCAATCCCGCAACACATAAAAGTTCAATGCAAAAAAATTGTATCTCAAAAGGATTATAATTATGTAGATTAAAAAAAAAATTAAAAAAAGAAATAAAAAAAGAGAAGTCATATTCACTGTTACTATCAAAGCATCAAAGTACATGTAAGAAAAAGAATGAAAAAAGAAGAAGAAAGAAAAGAAAATTATGTATTGTGTGAAGAAAGAAGAAAGGAAAAAAAAAGAGGGAAAAGGTGATAATAGCTGAGGAAAGAGATAATAAAAGAGAAAGAAGAAAAGAAAAAGATGAGAACCCAAGAGAAGAGGAAGGAGAAGGGGTTTCACACAAAGCATGGGTAACATGAGAAAGCGCGGAGTGTAACAACCTAAAAGTACAAGGATAATATTATCAAAAAGATATTGCACGAGGGTAAAGTAATATGAGTATATTACACTGAAGAACAATAAAATCAAAGTTATAAGAGGAAAGATGCAATATGTCAATAACGTATTAAAGTGACTCGGTAACATTGTTGAAGGTTGATGAAAAAAATTGCTTAATTTTGGTATAAAATGCTACTTACTATATTCCTTCTACTATACTAACCCTCTGACATGCAAAAAATCCTGAACAAATTCTCAAACCACAAAGATATCTATGGTTTTCTTTGAAGGCGTCGATGTGAAGCACCCTCTAACAGTGATTAACAGTAAATTCTCCCAACCATTTTTGAATTTTCCCAACCGTTTTTCCATGATAAAAATACATAAAACAGACTATAAAAATCTGTCAACACTTAACTGTCTGGAATGGAATGTAGAGCCATTTTATTGCTTTGTGACGATTTACATTCACCTAAAATGTAATTGAATTGTTGTCTTGATGCTGAACAGGCTTTGACAAGTAGCAGCATAGAAATGGAATAATATAGAGTCTAGGTCTAGTTGGGAGAATTAAGGAATCAATCAGATCAGTTTTTCCCAATTTGTAACATGAATAATGATCCGTTTTCACTAAAATTTTCAGATTATCTTTAATTGTACATCTAGCATTGAAGTCACTACCTTAGCACCACTATCTCTCATCTGAACAACGTTACAATAGGCGATAAACTTGCATGTACACGCATAGTGATACACAGTAAAACTATTAGCTTATAAGGGGAAGAAAGAAGAAAAAAAGAAATGAAAATTGTGATGACACTACTGACATTTCAAGGAATAAAGAAATCATGCATCTTATAAATGATAGAGAGGAAACAGATACGAATTGAAGAAGAGAGGGGGAGAGGGAAGACAAGAAAAAAGGGATTATAAAATAGTGAAAAATAAGATCAAAGAACAGGGAATATCCATGATGAATAGATTTGCAAATTAATGAAACGGCATAAATAGTAACTTTCCCGAGGCAGATTTTTATCAAATTTACCTCAAGGGAAAGTTAATGAAATATATCCTTGAAATGTCAGTAGTGTCATCACAATTTTCATTTCTTTTTTTTTCTTCTTTCTTCCCCCTTATAAGCTAATAGTTTTACTGTGTATCACTATGCGTGTACATTTTTGTTTAATTTTTGTTTAATTTAGGCCTATCAGTATGCTGCTGAACGCTCACAGTACATGTTCTTTGTAATAGTGATATGCTAATGTCTCATGAGGGATATAAAGCAGATATGTAATGTCTTTGTTGGGTCTAGCATACTATGAGCATTCAGAAGCATAAATATAGTAACTTTCCCTTGAGGTAAATTTAATAAAAATTTGCCTTAGGGAAAGTTACTATTTATGCCGTTGCATTAGCTCATAATTTTTGCTGGACCCTCGAAAGGTATTGTAGGACTATATTTGTATATTAGTAAACTAGCACCCAATTGACTGCTTTATAGAGTCCCAAATCCACCACTGACACCCTCACCTGATCAGCATGCTCCAAGTATTGGACCTGATGTGTGACAAGCACGACAGTTCTTCTTTCCTCGATCAAGAAATCAAGAATACCTTTGAAGAACATGTGACTACCAACGTGCACATCAAGGGCTGATAGTGGATCGTCCTGAGAGAGAGAGAGAGAGAGAGAGAGAGAGATGGATGAAGGTTCCTAGTTTGATGGATCAAAGCGAGCGTTCCTAAAAGATACAAATTATTTTGCGGTAAATCTATTCTGGATACCCCATTGAGCTTCAGGATGCTTTCTTTTTGGGCAACACATTTTATACCCAATTTACCCCTCCTCCCCCCTTCCGCAAACTCATATCTGACTATTATCATTAGATCAAGTCATAGATATTGCGATAGAGCACAACTTCTACCTACAGGTCTTAAACTTGACTGCACCACGATTGATCTATTAAAGTTTTTTTAATAATAAATATGCATGATTACTTCCGTGATAAATTTGATGATTACTTACCAAAAGGACGACATCATTTGAGCTATACATGGCCCTGGCTACACTGATGCGTTGCTTCTGACCTCCGCTCATGTTGATACCCTTCTCACCTATCTCCGTTTGGTCTCCCATAGGGAGGATATCAATGTCAGGCTGTAAACAACATGCTTCCAATATTGTTTGATATCTGCGATGGAGGAGGGGGTGGGTAATGAGATACAATATTTAGAATTCAAGATTAATATGTAAACTAAACGAGGTATTGTGTGCTTAACAAGCTGGAACGAATTCAAAAGAGATAACTGGCATGATAATATTTTTTTCAGTTTATCCATTGTCTTCAATTTCATTTAATAAGGCAATTATTATTTTCAGTTCTTTCATCTCTTTTCGCTCTCAAACCAATTTTGTTTAAGGAGGTCATCACATACTCTGCTTCCTTCTTCATTTTTTTTTGGTCCAATCTAAAGCTGAACCTACAATTTTTGTGTTGAAACATTTTTGTTATAGAGAGAGGGGGAGGCATGCAAGAAGAATTAAGTGGATACCTTTTCTGGCTAAAGGGGTTTCCGAATAAGATATTATCCTTCAGGCTAGCGTTGATCAGCCACGCTGTCTGTGCTGCATACGCAACTCCGATCTTTTTGCTTGAAAGATCAACCAAACAAACGAGAAAACAAATTTTATTTCAAATAAAGTCACAAAGAAAAAATCTTTTTGTAGATGATTTACTAGTACATTCTAACACTCATGATAACCCCCAGATCTCTTAATACCGGGATAATGAGTTACATTTTCGTATGTGATGGATACAGCAGATAATAAGTGTACCCTTAATTTTAAGAAAACTAACTAAATGATTTTTGGATACACGTT